GGTGGCAGGCTTGGGGTGGTTGGCTACTCCCCTGGGTGGGGCCAAGGGGTGTGATTTGGAAGGGCGGACTTCGGAGGGGCCCTCTGGCGGCGGGGCCTGGGGTTATCTGGACTATCGCTTTTGAATTGTTGCAGTAGGCGAGTGTGCCAGATTAGTTGGGTGTGAGGGTGGATGCCAGCAGGTGTCCCGTTGGTTAAAGGCGGTGGACCTCCTACATGGCTGACAGTGGTTGGAGTCCTGGGCCTGGCGGCTTCAAAATCATTCTGGGCGTGCACTTGCGTGCCCAAAATCCCAGGAAGAGAATCGAGGAGTAGGGGTTTTTGTAAGGGACTGTCCTGTGGTCATCAGTCTTGAGGAGTGATTTCCTGCTTTTCTTCTCACTGTCTCTCTCCTCCGAGGCTGGATTGTGATATGGTCAGCGAGACTCAGACGGTCATTTTCTAAGGAGGCAGGGGCCTTGAACGTGGTGGGGAAGGGATCTAGGCAGGGCAGAGGGCTTGGAATGGTAGTCAAGGAGGTGGAGCTTATGAATGCATGGGGCGGAATTTGAAATGTCTGGAATGGGTTGAGGTTTAGAGAGTAATTAGAGGGCAGGGGTTTGGAATGTTGTGGAGCTAAATCCTGGAGAAACACCCACCAGCCCCAGCCCCAGCATGTGCCTAGGGGTATTATTAGCCTGAGATAGGGCAGTCTGGAATTATTCTAATGGTCCAAAATTATTCTAATGACCAGGCCCAGGATTATTTATTAGGGTGGGGTGGGGACCGTTATTCATGGGGGCTAAATCTTTTTTTTTTTTGGAGAGGTTTTTGCTATAGGGCGAGTGTGCTTGCCAGAAAGACAGAGAGAGACGGAGAGATAGAAAGCGAGAAATCATCCCCAGGGGGGATGGCCACACCACAATCCCTTCTCCATTCTCCTTTTGGGATCTTGGGCACACATGCACACGCACTTGGCGTGAGTTTAAGCCACCAGGTCCTGGACTCGAACCATGGTCGGCTACATGGGAGTTCAGCGACATAGCCATTACGCTAACTGCTGGTCCCAATGGGGGCTGAATCTTTAGGATATGGGGGAGTGTGCGTGCCTGTGTGTGTGTGTGTGTGTGTGTGTGTGTGTGTTACTGAGATAGTGAAATAATGGTAGAGTCTGTATGTGGGTTCTAGAGGGTAGGCAAAGAGGTGAGGCTGGATTATTAATTCCAGAAGTGGGGCCTTGGTGATTCTTTACTTCATGTCCTCCTAAGCCCTCTCTGCCCCTTTTACCCTATAGATGTTAGTGTGCTGGACTCTGCAGACATAGAAGTCACAGACAGCCGTCTGCCTCATGCCACTGTTGTGGAACACCGGCTCCAGGTAGAACTTCATCCTTCTATTCAAGGCCACTCTGCCTCAGGGCTTGCAATGTATGTACACTCGTGTCCCTATTCTAGCATCGTCAGTCAGAGACCCTGCGTACATGTGCCACGCCTTCCCAAGCGACCCAGGTTAAACCACGTTGTGCTTCAAAGGCACCCCAGTCCTCTGGTCGGTTCTGCGTGGAGCTGGTCCGCGATTCCGCAGGCTTTGGCTTCACCTTAAGTGGGGGCCGAGATACAGCTGGAGATGCCCCACTGGCTGTGCGTGGGCTGCTGAAGGACGGGCCAGCACACCGCTGTGGTCGTTTACAGGTGAGCCCTAAGGGACCTTTGATTTGGGGTGATATCCCTACTTTACTTAGGGCCCTCTCTATCTACCCTTCCTACAACAAATGGCCTTGTACACTAACAGGCTGGTGACCTCATGCTCTACATCAATGGAGAGTCAACACAGGGTCTCACCCATGCCCAGGTTGTGGAGCGGATCCGGGCTGGAGGTCCCCGGCTCCACCTGGTGCTTCACCGGCCTCTTGAGACTCACCCTGGCAAGACTGAGGGGATTGGAGGGCCCCGGAAAGGAGATGGTAGGTTTCCCAGAGGAGGGTGGTCAGGGATTTGTGAGGAGAAACAGATGTTCAAAGAGTAGAGAGGTTGGGATCCAGGGTGGAAAGAGTTTGGTGGTCTTAGTGGGGAGAGTCCTGGGTTCAGGGGCATGAGAAAGGGGCCAGCCCCAGGATAGGAATTTTGAAAGAGAATCTTTTGAGGTACTGGGAAGGAAGAGCAGGGATGGGATCTGGGGTAAAAGTGGGAATTTAGAATAAAGAATCTTTAACCTAGCTGGGCAAGGCAAACTGGGTCTCAGCCAGGAGAAAGCATAGGAATCTAGAGGATAGGGTCTATTTCTGGATGACAAAGGGGGTGATAGAGATAAGGGTTGGGAGTGGAGGGATGTGGGATGAGAAAAGGAAGAGTTGTTGGTCCTAGATAGGAGAAGTTTGTGGTTGCAAGTTCAAGATGGAAGTTTGAGTTCCTTTGGCGGTTGTGAGAATTGGCTGTGGATTCCTGAAGGGCCCTGTAGGGAGAAGGGGTAGAAAAGGTTTCCGCAACCTTGGGTTCTCCCAGCTATCCTCAGCCAAGGGCCCCATTTCTATTCTCTATTCACTCACTCAATCTAACGCGCAGTCCCACTATCCCCAGACTGCAGCCCGGATCCTGAGGGGCCGGAAGTGAGATTTCGAAGCTCCAGCACTTCCCCAGTTCGGCATCCTCGATCGGGTACGACGCCCAAGACCTGGAGGAGCCTAGAGGCTAGTACCGAGGCAGTGGGGC